GCCTAATTTTCTTTAGACTGTTGGTTCCTTTTTCTCCGGCAGATGCACTCCGACCCCCCCCCCCCCCCCCCCCCCACCCCACCCCCATTTGAAAACTGAGCTCATTTGTGTCCTATAGAAAATTTTAAACGAAGCTTAGCTATCGATCCTCTCTCCCTATTGTGTGTGTGCGTTTGTGTGTGTCTGTATGTGTGTGTGTGCGCGCGCGCTGTTGTTGACGCTCGTGACAGTAACATACTGAGAAATACGATGTAAGTCAGGAGTTCAGTTATTAAAATTCTGACTCTGACTGAACTGAACTGAACCCAACTGAACATTGAAGTCAGTAAAAAAAAAAAAAAGATGGCTGCAGTCAGGCTAATGTCGGCTCTGTGGCTAAGTCGATGCGAACGCTTCGTAATGCCAGGATGCCGGGTTCGATTACAGCTGCGGGCCATGCGTCTTGCGTTGGTTTCGACAGTGGTATCAAGAAAGCCGACCGCCCAGAAAGTAATGGCAACTACTGGATGTAAATTTGCCTAGAAAAAAACACACACAACAGCCAGGGGCTGTTGGGGTTGGTTCTGCAACGTCCTGTAAAGGGTACGCAACTAACATTAGTCAGTCAGGCTAATATTAAGAAGTCGATATGCGACACAGTGTCTAAAGCGTGCCGGCACTCACCGTCTAGTATCTGTCTATCACAGTCACACTAAAACAATGATGCCTTAATGGCGGTACAACGTACAGTTGCAAACTGGTTTAGACTGGTCGAAACGTTCAGTGTAATCTTTGTCGTGGTTTTATGTAATTTTTGTGTGTGGGTGGGTTGGGTGATGGATTTATTTATTCAACATTTTGCAGGTTCAGCTATACTATTTATCGGTATCTTTTTGTGTCTCTTTCCCTGCCCAACCTTCCTACAAAATGTTTTGCATATGCAGTTTAGTTTGGCTTCAGTCTAACTAGGAGCCGAACCATTTGAGTTCACCTTTATTTATCAGCATTTTCCCCGTTTCTTTCCCTCTGTTGAGCATTAAGCTCCTTCTTGAACTGAACTGAACTAACTAAGTACTAAGTACTGTATCCTTCATTGTCACGCGAACACTTGTATAATTAACCCAAGTCTTTGTGATGGGTCACGTTCCGTGCCGGTAACGTCATCGGCAACAGCTGACTGAAATCAAAGTCAACACATCAGAGACTGGGCGGGGCGCAGGACTAAGTATTAGATAGTATTTGTACGAAACGTTTGTTATTAGAAAACCTACGTAATGTCTTGTCTTGCTACGACAGGATTCAACAAGGGTCAGGACAGTGTTTATAATAAAGTGACTGGATTTATGTGTACCATAGAAACAGTGTAACAAATTAAACCAATCAGTTTTAGTGCATGACTGAAAACAGGAGCGCTGCCACAAAGAATTAATTAAAAGAAAAAAAAAAAAGGGGGGGGGTCAGTCGGCTTACACCTTCTTCTTCTTCTTCTTCTTCTTCTTATTATTATTATTATTATTATTATTATTATTATTATTATTATTTTCTTCAAGTCTATGCCGTATGGCGTTGGTAGTCATGTCGGTAAATTTTACGCTGGTCTCCCCATTTACACACCGCCACACACTAGCTCGCTTCTGATTGGAAGACCTACTGACCATCTCACTACTGATAGGTCGGCTGTGAGTGATCCGACTTTCACACAAGGTCACGGGGATATTCCGCACTCGCGCTCATACCGCGTGTCGTATATTTCTCTATTCCAGAGCTTTTAACACTTCTAAAACATTTAGATACTGGGTCTAACACACAACCCCCCCCCCCTCCCCACCACCCAAGAGAGTAACAAAACTTATGTCACAGGCCGTCTCTTTCTCGGAAATAAAAACGTTAATACCAGACAACAACAGACTGCAACACCCGTAACCTCGACCACGATAGACTAGTTCAACCAACTTATCGATGGATTTGACCTACAACTGGTGGTGTGCAAATGGGGAGATCATCGTATAGATAACCGTCATGTCTATCCACAACCTTCTATCTCGAGCACTTTTAATCAACGTTGACACAGATGATCCTCCATGCTATGAGGTCAAACAGTCCAGCATCTGTTCTCTCGGTCTCCCTCTGCTTCTCCTCCCCTCTAACTTTCCTGCTGTCACGGTGTGCTCGTTTTATACTTCTCATCACATGACCAAAGAATGTCTCTTTCTGATATGGGCACATGGGCAATCAGTTTCCTTCATGAGTCCGTTTCTTGCTTAAGTGGGCAATAATAAAAATAAGAATAATTAGTATTAAACAGTATGAACAGCCATTTTTCCCCAAATATTATTTATTTATTCATATGCGTGTGTGTTATCCATCAAGATGATGATGAACACTTGTGTTTCATCAAGTATGAGTACGAAGATGACTGATGACGCCGATGCGGGCCCGAAACGTCCGTGGACAGTGAGGACAGGGAATGAGCGTTGTCCCAGTGAGGTGATCTCCTGCAGTCGCTTATCGGTCCATCGTGTTCTTAATCAGTATATATATTTATATATAATACACATACATACACACAACACACACACACACACACACACGAACAAATACTTGGAGCTAGAACATATGTAGATAGTTTTAAGGGCAATGCCCACATTTTTTTTGGCACCGGGGAAATGGGGTGGGGGGGGGGGGCACTTAGCTCCCCTACACAGTTTCTAGGGTGGAAGGTGGGGGTGGGGGTGAGATCAGCCGTCTTTTCCCGAAAATTATTTTAGGGAGGGACCCCTAAACCATTTTTTAAAGGGGAGGAGCCTCAAGGAGCGGGTACGCCATGTTTTCGGTGCCCATGTCCACAACGCATATTTGGATACGTAACCTATTTCTTGGAATTAATGTTATAAGGCGGAAGAGACCACAGCGAACTGACATTACGGATGTAAAATTTTAATGTACGCTGTGTCAGGTAGTTTTTTTTTAAAAGTGCCTGTTTACGACTTGTCGAAATATTTTTTGTTGATCAATGAACAGGTGTCAGTTTAAAGTGGACGAACAACCAGGACTTTCCGCCGGAGTTTACAGCCGGTGAACGCGAAGAAGTATTTTGTTTTAGAAGTTCTTTTCATATGTACTAGACTTGCTGCAAAGACTTGTACTAATGCAGCATTTGTAAAATAGCAAGCGCCTTGCCCACCCCTCTACACTCTCTCTCCCCCTTTCTCTCTCTCTCTCTCTCTCTCTCTCTCTCTCTCTCTCTCTCTCTGTGTCTCTCTCTCCCTCTCTCTCTCTCCCTAGATTTTTAATTGACTCTCAACGTTCAGGTGCCCGCTATTTTGATGTATTTCCTGTCAACCTTCCCCACCTCCCACACCCATCCAGAACTGCAGTCTATATATTTAACATCTCAGAGATGAGAATCAAACAGCTACAAATGCAGGAAACCAAGTTCAACCGTGTAGCCGAGTTATACTGAGGCACCACTAAATGGTTCTGAAGTAACTTGTAGCCTCTGGTAGCTGGGTTCAGATATGAATATACGACTATCACTTTACTTATAAACCCCTCCATGATCGATAGAGGTGGGATAGAGGTTAAAAAAAAAGGGGGGGGGGGGAGCTTTGAATTAAAGTTTGTTTCCCTTACAACCTGTCAAATGAAGGTTTGACACTCCACTACTAGTAAAGTCTGGATGTCAGTCCACATGAACAAACCCTAGGGCCCCCTCGAATCTCTTACAAAGATATAATTAGGAAACCCATGACAGTCACAGCAAGAACTAATCTGAGGTTCCCTTCTCGTGTAGACGGATAAGGATTTTGGTCGAGCCTAGCTGGGTGGAACATCACATGTTATATTGATGCTTACCCTAAACCATTTAATTCTTCTTCTTCCTCTTCTGCTTCTTTTTCTTCTTCTTCGCGTTCACCGGCTATATTTCTGACGGAACGTTCTGGTTGTTCGTCCACTTTTGGACTCTAGTCCTGTTCCAGAAACTGAGTATTGCGTGCACATCAATTTCAAAGGTATGACTCATTTGCATGCAGTCTGTTGGTTTCTTGCCTCTAAGGCAGTTGTACTCCGACTTCGAAGGACTCTGCCAATTAGTCGACTCTTACGACATGCTTTTTGGCAGGCAGTGGGTCTATTCTTGTTTTCCCCACAATGGGGTCCAGGAACCCACACGGGGAACAACTTAATAATCTGCCTGAAGAAAATGTAGCGCTGTCTGGATAATCTTAAATTTTCTTAGCATTAAAATTTACATTAATATCCCACAGAAATTCTTTAGTTCTTTATTTACCCTTTTCCTTGGCATTACCGGCGACTTAGCAAAACCGTCGGCTCTGTGGCTAAGTCGATGCGAACGCTTCGCTTCGTAATGCCGGGATGCCGGGATCGATCCCAGCTGCGGGCAATGCGCCTTGCGTTGGTTTCGACAGTGGTATCAAGAAAGCCGACCGTCCAGCAAGCAATGGCAAACTACTGGACGTAAATTTGCCTAGAGAAACCACACAACAGCCAGGGGCTGTTAGGGTTGGTTCTGCAACGTCCTGTAAAGGATACGCAACAACCTTAGCAAAACCAGCTGCCTAGGTAACAACCTGTACTCCAATTCAACATGTGCAGCCAGGCATGTGTCTTGGAGAGGTCACTCCAGTGTCGCTTAACCCTCACAAATTGAGCAACCAACAGCGGACACGTTGAAGAATTAAAAGGAAATATTATTTTTAGAAAACCCCGTTCTTATTAATGTATGAACCCACTAGTTCAAGGGGAGGCTACAGCAGGCCACTCCTGGCGGTGACGTCAGCAGCGACCTCTCGTCCCGTGTTGTCAACAAAAGTATCGCTTCTTGTACTCTGGCTCGCAGTTCTCAACTCGCTGGCTTCACAAGTGAAGTTTCATTGCTGTTTTACACAAACCCGCGAGACAAATGACTCAGTGTAACACATTAACATTGTAGATTTCATCTTACATTGTTTAATTTAGTCGTGAAGATTTTATAAAGAAGGTTTGTTCATTCATTTATAATGGAAGGAGCTGGTCAAGTGAAGTCGAACAAACTCAGACAGCAGCCAAAAACCGTTATTGTGGGTGCAGGAATAGCGGGGTTAGCTGCAGGAAAATACTTGCTCTCTGAAGGATTCCACGATTTTATTATTCTTGAAGCTTCCGACCGAATTGGTGGACGAATTTGGAGTGTTCCTTTAGGTAAGAATTGTTGATATAAAAGTAAAAGAACTTTGAAGTACTGATTAACAGAGTACCAACCGCTGTATTTTCGTTTATAATTAAAATAGTATTGGCGGACTCTGGGAAACCACGCCTCACTGTCGAGTTGTAAAATTGTCAATGACTTCGTGATATCGCAACAGCCCATTATCATAATTTAATAAAAGACAAGAGACCATTATTGTGAAGATAAGTTCATATTGACAAAGGAGTAATTTAATGTCAATGTTAAGTTAAAGATGGCCAGCTAAAGTGTATGTCAAAGAAGGCGCAATAAGTTTCCGCCAACAATGTCCAGTGTCAGTGAACTGTAAGTGAAAAGTAGAAGAGATAGTTACGAAGTTTGAAATTGTGCCAGTTTAATAATCGCGTGACGCAGTAGTTACGTATTGATTGGATGTTTGGAATCTCCTTATCCATTTGCAAACGCATAATCATAATCATGCTGGGATACTTTACTTACTAAAGCCTGTTTTAAGAAGTAAATTGCAACACACCTCCTAAGTGGAAAGGGAAGTGTAATAGAAAGATGATTTCACGTGGAACAAACTTAAAACGTGTTGTGGCCCACGCAGCATTTGCAACCACTGCCAAAACAGATATGACCAGTAATAAATAATAATAATGTTTGGTTGTGTAAACAGCTTATCCTATTCACTTTAAACACTGGATCTTTGAGAATTTAGTTGTCTCTCCCCCCCCCCCCCCCCCCCCCCCCAAAAAAAAAAAAAATTATGACTGTTTGAGCCTGTTGATGTTGAGTTGGTCCTATTATCATCCAGGTAAATTAACTCCCATGGTACAACCCCCCCCCACCCCCCCCCCCCCCCCCCCCCCCCCCCCCCCCCCGTTTTTTATATTGATTTTGCCCTGTAATATTAATAATTGAATTCAGTGTAGACAGTATTATATCAGAGCAGATCAGACCCTTGGCTGGTAGCTAGTCTTGAAAGGAGGGAACGAACAATTACAAACTTTATTTTCAAAGGGTCACATATTAGGCGTGTAGGCCCGTCTTACAGGAAGTTCCACAAGGCCGACAGAGTACTGCTGCTGTGTAGCTTGTTTGTTCCAAGCATACTGGTATTACCTTTACTTTGGAGTAAACAAAGTAGGCTGTAAGGAGAATCATGATTCATGGTCTCTGTGCTATGGAGAGGAGAAAATTGATCCCTGGCCTTAATTGGTCTCGGAAACAAATCGAGAGGCAGCAGTTATGGGTTATGAGTTCTTGCTAGTCAGCAGTTACAAACACTGAAGTATTGGAAAGAGCAGGTATCACAACAGTTTTCTCAATACTCAATCTCTAAAGGCTGAGGTGACTGGGTCACACATTGATTAAGGATGATGGTAGAATCTGAAAGGACATCCTCTGTGGTGAATTATAGTTGGGTAGATTTTGAGGACGGCCTCTACCACAATATGCAGGTGTGTGCAAGTGGAACGTGAATGATACAGGTATTGAGGTACATTTGTGTTCAAAATGCCATGGAGATGGAAATTAGGAAGGGAATGAGAATAAAGAAAAAAAAAATGATTGAAGAAAAGTTGAGCTGGGTGTCTGAGAAGAAGCAGATAATATACATGTAATGGCCACAGTGGTTCTGAATTCTTTTGCTCTAACTGGGGAAGACTTTTCTTAATGGGGGCAGATCTGACTGGTCACACTCACCATGCCATGGGCTGTGATTTCCATGCTTTCCTATAGCATAATATAACACTGTTGTCAGGAGAGACAGAAAAGTACCAACTACAAGAGACATTAAAAATGAGAAAAGGCAAATATTATGTATACTGTTACTTAGTATAGTGCACATATGGACAAGAACAAGCAATTTAGAACACTAAGTTGAGACCCTGGGAAAATATATACACACAAGAAAAGCTTGCATATAATCATCCTCCTCCTGTTATGCACTTCTGTGACATTTAGGGCTCACATTCTAGTGTTCTATGCTATTCTATCCTGTGTACTCCTTTCAGTATCATGTATCTGACCCACAGAGGCCTAGGAAGTGGCCCTCAGATCATTGCTAGCTGTATTGTACTGATGATCTTTCTGTGCTAGGGCTCGGACTTCTCGCCTGTGATGGTCCCCATTTGCAACATTTTGGCCCGGAGTAAACTTAGCTGAAAAGCCCTGGTGTAGGATTCCAGTCCAGCGCTTTTGGCTTTTCTTAACAGCGTTCGCCTTAGGGTTTATCTTGAGTGTCGTCATTTTCTCAGTCCATTTGCTTCTCCATTTGTCTGTTTGATGATTCTCTTTACCCTTTTCCCTTATGATATGTCCAGTATATCTCCATCTTTGTCTTGTAACTGATGATACTCAAGGCCCAAACATTTCACTTATTTCTTCACCTTTCTTGAATTAAGTTAATTTTAATGTTCATTGCAAATTCTGAAGATGTTAACATTAACAAATATTGGAGAACTAGAAAAGCTGGATATTAAAAGAGATGATAAAACTTAAACCGAAAGCTAGTCTAATATTTCCCCTGTATTGAGAAATACATATTTTTATAAAATAATGCTGGTGGAAAAATACTTCTTCTTCTTTGCGTTCACCAGCTGTAAACTCCGGCGAAAAGTTCTGGTTGTTCGTCCACTTCTGGACTGCAGTCCTGTTCCAAAACCCGAGTGTTGCCTGTGCATCCATTTGACAGATCTGAAGACTGTTGGTTCCTTGCCTCTCAGGCAGATACACTCTGACTTCGAAGGAAGCTCCCAATTAGTCAACTCCTACAACATGCTTTTAGGTAGGCATTGGGTCTATTCTTGTTTTTCCCATAGTAGGGCCCCGGAACCCACACTGCGGAGTAATTATCAATCAATCATAGTCAGTATTCATCATGGAGATTTCATTTTATTGATATCTTATTGTCAAATTAATAGGAAAACATCTCTAATATCTCCCATCTTTAATTAAAGTAAGAGAACCAACAGTATATTACATAATTTATTGCTAGGCCTGTTTCATTTATCTTGTATTTCCACTTCCTGGGTCCAGACTAGTATTGTCCTGAGTGCACGCCTATATGAGGCTGTTGGCACGGTGCGGTCTGTCAGGTTTGGTGTGCGCCACCGAACATTCAGCTTTTACAGAGAATAGGTAGTACAGACCGTTGTTATATGGTAGCTTTGTCATATCTGATCCAGACCTGACCATTAAATTCCTATTTTAGAGACAAAGTAAGGACACTTGAGGCCATCAAGTTGAAGGTGATACATCAAAAGCTCGGGCATGTCACATCTGTAATACCTTCTCAGAGGTAATGCACCAGGAAGTATTGAGAACAAACAGAAATGAGAAGACAGAGCAAAATGTGGGCCAACATTAAAGAGTGGGTGTAATATTCTCTCACCTGTTTGCTAATAAGAATGCTGCTCCCATTTCATGGTCAGGGATATTAGACTGATTCACACTGCAAGTATTGGTATAGAACAACAATAGGGATGAATATTTAAATATTAATGAGCTGTTATCATGTAAAGTATGTGTGTATATATGTTTGTGTATATACACCCACACACATATAAGTCACTTGGGTTCCTTTTTCTAAGGACATTAGTTGGTAATTTATCTTATATTTATAGTGAAATGTAGCTATGCGTGTTATTATTTCAGTATTTAACTGTAATATTATATCTATCAATTTCAGACGATAATGGACACAAAGTTGAAATGGGTGCTAACTGGATACATGGCGTGAAACATAATCCAGTCTACAAACTTGCTGATGAAAATAATTTGCTAACAGGGCAGGAGTATCGCTTAGACAACAAAAATTTGTATGTGACAGAGCATGGTGAAAAAATTCATGAGGGCACTGTTAAAAATGTTGACTTTGCGTATGGAACAATGTTATCCAACTGTGAAGATTATTTTTTTTCCAACACAGATGTAGATGTGAATGAAAGCCTTGGAAGTGAACTGGATCGTTTAATAGATAACAAGTTGGCCAATACAGCTGGGGAAGTGCGACATTTGCTGGAAATGATTTACCATCAGCGCCGTTTAACGGAATGTTGTATAAGTGGATGTGATAGCCTGTATGATGTTTCTCTCTCCCAGTTTGGCTCTTACAAAGAACTCCCAGGCTCACACCTTGTGATTCCTCGTGGCTTCAGCGCCATATTGGATATTGTAAAAGATGGCATTAAAGACGAGAAAATAAAGTTGAAAACTCCAGTGTCGAAAGTTCATTGGGGTGATGTTGCTAGTTCATCCGGTGGAAAACAGTGTCCTGAAGATATGATTTGTGTGGAGTGTGAAAATGGTGATGTATATTATGCAGACCATGTAATTATCACTGTGTCTCTCGGAGTTCTGAAAGCAAGTTGTGATAGACTTTTTAACCCACCCCTCCCACAGAAAAAGCTGGAGGCTATAAAGCATTTAGGATTTGGTATTGTGGATAAAGTCATTCTGGTTTTTGATGGACCAGTCGTAGAGAAACCCATTCAACGTATTCATTTAATTTGGGATCCAAGTGAACATACGCCTGAAAATCTCAGAGAAAGATGGTTCAGAAAAATCTACTGTTTAGAAGTCATACATGACAATGTGCTTGTTGGTAAGTTGAATCAGGTCTTTTAATTGTAGTCCTCATTTTTACTGTTAACCACAGGGTGAGTCAGAAATGAGACTACATGTTCCAGTGTGAATGTATCTGAAAGCGGTGAATGACTTTCCAAAGCGAGCAGTTTTAGGCAATTATGTGACTTGGCATTGTTATAATGTTGTGTATTGTTAGTTGAAGAATTGCCTTTCTTATCTCATTCTCTAAGGCATAACTCCATGATTAATCACATCGTTTTTCAGACTCACCCTGTAGTTATTGCATGTTATAATAATCTTGCATAGTTTTGACAGAGTAGTAAATGGAAAGTCAAAAGTTTTAAACTTGGACTTGTATTTATTTCCTTCTCTCAGACTGATGTTATTCATCCCTTGATTATGCTTTCACTTGTATCTCTTTCTACTCCTTGCTCATCTGCCTTAAAGTCAGTTCTTGATTTTTGCATGTGTGTATAAATACAGATTCAGAAAGAATTAATGTGTCAAGTTTTATTTTGTGAAATCAGTTAGAAACATCACTATTAAATTCAGTATTTAGGTTAGTGAAGATTATGATGGAAAGTAAATGTATTTTAATGGAAACTAAATGAAGGTTTTGATGAAAACTGTCTTTTGATGAAAGGTCAATATCTATTTTGATGGAAAGTGGATATATACGTTCTTCTGTTTTTAAAAGCTGTCTAGGACTTCTGCTGTCTGTCTTGTCCTTGCTAAAACTACTGCTGTTTATGCTTTTTTTATAATGTTTGTGCAACATTTTTAACTAATGTGTGTTTAACAGAAGAATTTAAACTCTGTAGGATGGCTGTCTGGCACTGAAGCACTCTTCATGGAGTCCCTGTCAGATGAAGAGCTCTTGCAGGACATGGATAAGGTGGTTAAAATGTTTCTAAAGTCACATACTCCAAACATTCCAACTTTGAGAAAGGTTATACGGTTAGTACATTTAGACAAATATCCCATTTTCATCTCATCTGCACCATGGCAGTCCTTCTGCAGTTAGCTTTGTTGCATTGTGCCATGTCGCAGTACTGCTTGGCCCTAATGATTTGTGTCAATAGGCATTTCTTTAGCATTTATTTTTAAGAGGGTGATGTTTTTTTTCTGTCCTAACTTTAAAAAAAAAGTTTGTTAACACACAAGCTGTGTATAGTTATGCTGCATTGGACCTTTATGCTTTTAATAAGACAGTGTCTCTTTTCAGAACAGTTCATTTAATGAGGTTTTATTCAAGAACAAAGTACAGTAATTGCTTTTTGTTTTGCACTGTAAAACCGCTTATGGATAACTTGCCGACATTCAGAACTGCTATAACAGGGATCTTCTCCAAATCATCCATTAGAAGCTCTGCTATGAAGTTCACTTCAGCAGAGATAAACAGACTTTATCCACACCAGGGTTAGATTAGAGTTTATACAGATGGTTCAGCCAAGAGAGCAATCAAAGGCGAAGAAGGAGGACTATGATAGAATGCTCTAATGGTTTTTAAATTGAACAAGCTATACCCACAGGTACATTTTTCTCCAGTGAAGGGCAGAGGCAGATGCACTTCTTGTCGCGTATTCTTTCCTGAATAGATAACAGTACAGCAAATATAGCAGTGTCTTTTGACTGATGCTATGTCAATTTCACCAACAATTGTTAACCCAACAGACATGCAGTTTGTAGTCTTGACACAACAGCTGATTCAGTGGTGTGTTACACTCGGACAAATGACAGGGCACAGTAGACTTCTCCAAAATATGTTTAAATTGTTCAGTGTAGGAAACACAGAGACGTGTCCCTAAAGCCTGAGAAAATGCTGAACACGTACTCTAACACTGTCAACTGTATGCTACCAACAGAGACGCAATCTGGTCTGTTCGAACCTCACTGAAAACAAAGCTGTATGGTTCATTGGGAGATATGGACTGCATTACAGCTTTCATCAAGGCTGCTGGCCTCGTGTTGTAAATTTTGCACTCAACTGATTTTTGTAGCCTTATTTTGATTAATTCATAAATTCATGAGTTGATTTTTTTTTTTTGCTGACTGTGATCTAATCATGTCTTCAGTTTTTTTCTATGTTTTTTCCCCACCTTTTTATCCAACAGAACATCTTGGGGACAAAGTAAACATATTAAGGGTTCATACAGCTTCATTGCTGTTGGTTCCACACAGGATGATATTTTAAATCTCAAGCATCCCTTGACTAAAACCCTAAAAGACAACACAAAAAAGGTAATCCGTCTTTTATTGGTTTCTGCTACTAAACTGAGGTGAGTGAATGACTTATTAAGATTTGAATAACCAATTCTGGTATCGTGAAGTAAATTTCTCAGAGGCAGCAGATTGGTGGATTAGTGGAAAATTATGAGGAAGCTGCATAGATGTTTGTTGAAAAGAAGGATTATGGGAACAACCATGGACTGACTTGACTTATCATGAAAATGTCTTGTTATAAACTTAGTCACAAAGAGAACTGGCTATCAGGTTCACAAGTGGACAGTCTACATTTCTTTGGACATGTCAGAATGGAAAACTTGGAGTATGTCACAACAGCTGGGAATTTAGAGAGGAGAGGCAGGAGGAAACCAAGAGAGAAATTGTTGGACTAGTATGACCGCCCAGAGGGACAATTATTTCTTACACTATTGGCAGAAGGTTAGCATTTCTGTCAGTGTGGTGGGTAGGTAGGCTTACTGTTGTTAGTCTTGGCAAGTTTTGTTGCCAGAATAACAAAGATATAAAAATGCATAAAATATTGACACAGACTAGAACTGAAACCAGTTAATACAGCTCATTAAAGAACAACAGATGGGATGATTTTGCCATCTGATGAGAATACTCTGGTACAAGCTACCCTCAGATAGCCACCCTGAAGAAAAATAATGGACACAGAGCAAGGGGAAGACCATGCCAAACAATGGCATCCAGGACAGTATTTACGAAGTGAAGATCAGCTTATATGATCATTAGAAAGATGACACAGAAGATCTTTACATCTCCCACAGTCGCTGAGGTGACTGGTGGAAAAGAAGAGAGGTTATTTAATTCACACACATAACAGGGCTAGTAACTTTGTGTACAAATGCACATTTACGGTCATCGTTGTCCGCCTCCATTTCCTCTTTTGTTACTTCTTATTTTTTGAGCAAGTGTGAGCTTATGCCATCTTGGCATAAGATAAAAGGTAAAAATAAAGTACACTTTTCCACATCTTGAGGAATTTTGGGTATATGATGCAAATCCCATGTTTTTATAAACCAGTTGGAACTTAATGAGTAAAGTAGTTTGTATCGCATCAACCACCATTACTTCCCAGAGTTTTTCTATGTATCCATTATTGGTTGAGTTGACCTTATCGACCAGCGGTTCCTAATTTATGGTCTGCAAACTTCCAGGGATCCACATAACAAATAAATTTAAGAGGTACATATCATTTACAAACCATCCATGTGGGTTCCGAGGCCCTATTATAGGGAAAACAAGACTAGACCCACTGCCTACCCAAAAGCATGTCGTAAGAGTCGACTGATTGGGAGCTTCTTTTGAAGTCAGAGTGCATCAACCTGAGAGGCAAGGAACCAACATTCTGCACACAAATGTGCCAGATCTATCAAACGGATGCACACGCAACATTCAGGTTCTAGAACAGGACTGCAGTCCAGAAGTGGACGAGCAACCAAAACTTTCCACCAGAGTTTAGAGCTAAAGAACATTAAAAAAAAAGATTTGCAAACCAAAAATGCAATCCTTTTTTTTTTTTATTTCACATGTGACTATTAAAAATGTTGGGGTCAGTGGCAGACCTTTGAAAATAAGGTGGGTCACCGGCTCTTGTCTAGTTGGGAATCACTGTTACAGGGACTAAACAACCCTTTATAACGCCAGTGGCACATCCAACTTTTGATGCTGTATTAATTTTTATAAACTGGTGGTGAAGAGTAGTGTGGTCAATATCATGTCACCCACCTTTACATTCTATGGCATCTCCTGTACCAATTTTATGGTCTGCCTGGGAGCAAAGATAAGTTCCCCTTTCCAAATCTGCTAGATGCAGATTTGAACCCAAGACCATCAGGAGGCAACTGTCTAGCTACCACAGTACTACATCTTTCCTTATAATGAGTGCTGCTTCAAATAAACACTTACAGTTGATGTTTCTTCTTTTTTTTTTCATTTTCTTGTTCCATGTCTGTAAAAAGTTCTTGTTGTTCATCCACTTCTGGATTTTCGTACTATTTAAAAACTTGAATTGTATATTCAGATCCATTTTACAGATCTGGCTTATTTGTATGCAAACTGCTGGTTTGTCACCTCTCAGGAAGATGTATTCAGACTTTCAAGGCAGCACTCTAATTAGTCGCCTTTTACAACATACTAGGGGAGGGGGGTGGGTCAATTCTTTTTCTCTCCAAAAAAGAGGCCTCAGAACCCACACAGGGAAGTTGATGTTTCAGTATATGTTAGTTAGAAGATTTGCCTCATAACTTCTGACTGTCTTGTGTGTGTGTTTGCAGCCTGTAGTGTTGTTTGCTGGAGAAGCAACACACCCATCCTTCTACTCCACAACACATGGTGCACTGCTCACTGGGAACCGGGAAGCAGCAAGAATATGCAAGTTTTGGAAACCAGAGGAAGGTGAGATTTTAAATCCCTGTATAATTGGGTTCTGGTGCCCTCTTGAGTGGAGGGGAGGGGGAGACTTACTGCCCTCCCCTCAAAAACATGTCATAAAATGCATCTGATTAGGGGGTTTTCTAAAATCAGATGTGTTGGAAAGAGGGTGTAGATATTGCAGCTTAGCCATAACCCACAACACAGCATTTTCAGTGTTAAAATTTTTATACTGTCTTTTCTAGTAAAGCTAACAGCTCTTCTCATGCATTTAATTTCACATGTTATAAGCTTCCTCAAATTACATTATGTTTCAGCCTTTATCCTGCCATACAAGTCAGTATATATCAAAATTGTTGTTGCTAACTTTTCTTATTGTAAATGATGTACAATAATCTATTGTAAAGGACACCATCTGTGGCAAGTGAGTTACGAACAGTTGCATAATTTCCAAACATATGTGGTGCAGTTCAGCAGCAGGGAATTTGGCAGCAAAATACTATGATTTTGACACTGTCGTGAGACTAGAACCATTCAGAAAGCAGCGGCAAACTAATGAGCATACAAGAATTTTGAGCTTTGAGCTAAGAACTGTCATCACAGAACTCAGGACATTCCCATAAGTGCTAATTCCTCATCTTCAGAACCAGCAAAGAGTTCCAATTCTGATGATGCCAGTAATTATTATTGCCGTAACCATGGAGGTCCTCAGCTTTATTTCGTCTTCGGCATGCAGAGGCAGGAATAGATCTTTATGGTCTGGAAAGAATGGTACAGCTAGGAGTGACCAAGGGATCTGGTTGACACTCTTTACTTAAAGGAAAGACAAGACATTCAAATGAGCCAAATACGATTATGAGTGAAGCAACAAATGCCTCACATGGTTTCTGATGTCCTGTAAAGGATATGTAAACAAATTTTTTAACAGAAGGTCTAAAATTAGGTCATTCAATGCCAGTGAAACCACCAGTTATTTATATTATGACAAGATACCTCTTCTTCTAGACATAAACGCTTTTATTTGTCATAAAATATCATGCCTGTGTATAGCAGTCATGCCTATCTTTCGATTTCGGACTGCATCAACCCAAGAGGTGAGCAACCAACAGTCTGTATACATATAAGCTAGGTCTGTAAAATGGATGCACATGCAGAACTCAAGTTCTGGTACAGAACCAAAGTCCAGAAGTGTACAAACAAGCAAAACTCCACCAGAGTTTACAGCTGGTGAACATGAAGAAGAAAGTCATAAAAAATGTGTGAAACATGAATAAATCAGTGCATGTAGGATAATTGTCTTGATCTAAGAAAATTGGTTAGGATTATGTTAAATTAAAGGATGTAAATACATTTTTTCAAACGTGAAAAATCCTTCCTAAACTATGAGTCGAATTATATGGCGGGTATAGCAGTTTGCTAAACATTTTGGGTTCTCTCTACATTTACTTAAAAATTTTAATCTAATACATTGTCATGTGAATTCAGAATGCATTCAGTCAAACATAAAAATATTCCTCATAAATCTAATTTTTAATGTATTTATTGCAGAAACCACAGGAAAATATGCCAACTTGGGTCTCAGCGATGAGGAAAACACTGAAGAGGAAGAAGAGGACCGTTCTGAAGAGGAGGGTGCTCGCTATTTTTCAATAAAAAGTGCTGATTGATGTTACCAAAATCGATAATGTGCACAGGAATTGGTTTCATCTAATCTTTCATGTAAAAACTTCCATTCAGACCATGAGAGGTGATTCTGTGCATACTGCAAGATCTTGTTTGTTTGAATTTCCAAATGTTGCTCCTATTTATCAGAAAAGCAACTGTACAATATTATTTTACAATCCATTTTTACTTAATATTGGTTATCTGTTTGTTATGGTATATTGACATTTTAGAGAAAATTTTGTTATTAAAAGTATTTTATCATGCTCTAATTTTCTTTGTTATATTGCATTTGACAAAGTGCTTTGATGAAAGAAATACAAACGATTTGTTTTTAGATGACAAATGCAAATGCATGTTTTTTTTTTAGTTGTGTATGTCACCCTTATATTAATGAGTCCTACATGGAAGATAAACAATTGTAACTTACCACATGTCCTAGCAGGCAACAAAAGGCAAAAGAGTATTGGTAGGAGTTGACTGCTATAATTTAAGCAGCCAGCATGTCTCTATTGTGCTTGCGTAATTTGTTTAGTAAATTATGCTCCATTGGGAGATAGAAGCAGAAGAAAAATTATATGTACGTATGTGGGTATATATGTTTGAATGTGTGTGATTATGTTCTGGGCAAATACCTTATTTTGATTATTTATTTCATACATAACCATAACACTTACTTTAGACTTGGTTTATTAACTTGAAATCAGTAAATCAGCATTAATATGTTATCTAATTATTTTTTTTTCAACTGGTTGTCCGTTTGTGCTTATTAAATTTCTGATAATTATTATTGGAATAATAGTCATTTGTATGGTAAAACATGGGATCTTAGAGTAGCTACTGAGGCTCTGGCCTACCTAGACAGTGAACCCTTGTAGTGACAGTCACTGCAGCAAATGTATTATCTTATATGTACTTAGACTCCTGTAGGATTGGCTGATGTGTCTAAACAGTCACAGCAGCAAATGTATCATCTTATATGTACTTGAACTCTGTAGGATTGGCTGATGTGTCTAAACAGTCACTGCAGAAAATGTATCATCTTATATGTATTTGAACTCTGTAGGATTGGTTGATAATTCTGAAAAGCTGAAGTGTTTTGGCCATCTTAAACATGGTGGCCTGGATAGAATTGTGATGGAGGGTAGTTTCCTGAACACAAGGCAGAGGCAGACCTCTGTGAACGTGGGTACAAGACACCAAAGATGCATTAGCTTTCAAGTGTGGCACTCTGTAAAGGACCTCCTTATTGATGATACTTTGTAGATCATTGAATTACAATACATGCCAAAGGCTGAGGCAGCTGTGTTCAGCATTTTAACTAAGTTTGGATTTGCTTAAGTGTACCCTGCAGCTGGTTTTATTTCTGCTCTGCATATTCTGGCAGAGTGGTTAGTGCTTGGCTTTTATGCAGGAGACTTGGGTTTGATCCCCGGTGGAGGATAGATAATTTTTATACAATCTTAACCCTCCCAGTTCATGGTTGCTGCACTAGTCATGCGGCCTGCAAACCTCAGACTCCTGACCTCCCAGTCCTGCACTGCTCTGAAAGTAGTGCATACAGGCAGTTATTAGTTTTGCATTTAATTTCCATATAAATTTTCATCTGTGAGTTGCAGCATGTGTTGTTCAGTTAAGAGACTAGTGTTATATGTTTATGTAAAATCATCAAGTGATTTGAGCCAATGCTGTTTTCAGAAGGTAAGAATTGGGCAAGCTGGCCCACCTAACATTCTGCCCATCTGGTTGCACTCATTTTGTAAATTATTTCTTTCACACATCTTTTGTAAGCATCACCAACAGCTACTAATTATTATAAACTATGTAATGCACTTTACTTACACCTGCATTTCTGAATGATATTATTACAGTATCCTAATTGTAATAACTCTATGAAAAATACACTATCTGCTTAAATGTATCAGTTCGTATGCCAACACCTGCCATGACGAAAGGCCTTATAAATTTTATTTCACTGACTTTTTGTAATGTATGTCAGTAAATTCTTGCGGTTGTCACAGCATGTTAAATAAATATTGTTTTTAAAAGCTTCATTACGTATGCAGTTGTATTTGTGTTATTGTTGCTGTTTCAGGAAGTTTACAACTTTGAAATCCACTGCCAACTAGTGTTGCAATTATACTGATCCTGGTGAGTTGGGTTCTCTTTTCCACTTCCACAGTGACCCAGCACCCATGTCAACTATGTTGTCACTTTGTATATTATCATTTCTGCTGACTCCAGGCTGTGGGCTGGCACTACATATTGTCACTTTGTGTATCATGTCTGCTGACTCCAGGCTGTAGGCTGACACTACATGTTGTCACTTTGTGTATCCTGTCTGCTGACTCCAGGCTGTGGGCTGGCACTACATATTGTCACTTTGTGTATCATGTATGCTGACTCCAGGCTGTGAGCTGGCACTACATATTGTCACTTTGTGTATCATGTCTGCTGACTCCAGGCTGTGGGCTGACACTACATGTTGTCACTTTGTGTATCATGTCTGCTGACTCCAGGCTGTGAGCTGGCACTACATGTTGTCACTCTGTGTATCATGTCTGCTGACTCCAGGCTGTGGGCTGGCACTACATATTGTCACTTTGTGTATCATGTCTGCTGACTCCAGGCTGTGGGCTGGCACTACATATTGACAGTTATGTTTTAAAGCCTGGAGCTTAACAGTTTGGAACTGGCACAGCATTATCAGATGGACAACTGATAGTGGCTAGTGTGGCACTGACCTATCACCCCAGATGTGATAATGAGCAACCTGATAGTTTTGGTTTTAATGCATATCTTCTCTATTGAAACCTTTGGTTTCACATTAATAATTGTTCAGCATTTATCTGTTTAATTTATTTATACCTGTTAATGTTTTCTTGTGCAATGTGATACCATAATAAGTAATGTTTATATGTACATAAACATTTGAATGAACACTGCATACAGATTGTTTTTTTATAATTCTAAAAATTGTCATTGCTAGCATATTGCAAGAAACAGGGTTTATTAGTGTCAAAACAAATGATAGGGTTACTTTGCCCATCCTGCAAAAGCGTGCGCTAACTGAAGTTTACTATCATAATTAAATGGCTCTTATTAGAAATTCCTCTTATTCGGATAAGAGTTCAAGCAAGAACGATTGCAGGGAAAAAAACAAATTATTCTTCACAGCAGAAATTCCCCACATCCAAGATCGCCTTCAGCGGTATGTTAATTTCTGCTAAGCCAGCTTTTAGACAGTATGTGCAAAATAAACAGCAAAGTAGAATTTAGATAGTATGAAAAATCAACAGCAGAGTTGAGTTGAGAGACAAGAGCATTGTTAATTTTATTTTACTCATCGGTTCACCTTGTAATTTAACTGTTGTTGTAAACTTCAGCCGAGTCAGCTTTTTTTATATAGAGATTATGGGAAGCTAGCTGAGAATAGTTCAGATACTTGGGCCATTGTTGATATTATTTGTTTTTAAAGAATCATTGCTGTGCTGCTAGAGAACATTTTTTTTATACTGATTTTGTTTATAACATTTAATACTGTGAACTAATTTCAGCATGTGATAGCAAAAAAGTGCCTATCAGATCATATTTGTAAATTCCTAAGCATAATTGAAATACCAGTTACTAATGCACAGACATTTTTAATTAAAGGGTAATGGATAAGAAATGTAGAGTTTTATATATTCAGAGCCCACTGGTTAGTTTTCTTGTAATGTAGTTAACAGGTTAAGTTTTATATTGGTGTATAGTCTGAAGTGCAACATTCCTGGCACTTATTCAGTTGATATGTGTCCCCTTTGCTCTAACTGACTGACTTTTACTCCACCAGGACATCACACAAGCGATAAACACCCGATGACACAGAGTGCCACCATGCGGATGAGGATCGCCGTGGAGAGGTCCCAGAAACCGCGTTCAGACATTTGGCCATATTTATGGCCTGCCTATATTGCGGCCGCCGGCAAAAGCCAGGGTGGAGCTTCAAATAAAAAATTTCATCCTGAAAAGGACGATAGAGAATAATACCACCAAACAACCTGTTTCTGATGTTCATATATAATTAACACTAAAATAAAAAGTAGTTTACAATTTTCTACAGACTAAAAGCACCTGTTTACGGAGACTATCTTCAGTTAATCCCTAGTTTCAGTAGGATTCTTCTGTGTGACTAGTTCAATCCTGGATTCAACTCAGCTTCATAAAGTGGTCACCAGTTCTATGGGTGTATTCAAATAAAGGGAGGCAAAGAAGAGAACTGGCCTCTCATTCATCTGTGTCCTAGAACAGTGGTTCTTAGTTGGTGGTCTAGGGCACGTGTAAAGTGTCCATGATATTGTTTTAAAAAGAAATACATTAACAGACTCAGCTGTAGAATGCAATTAGTTGTTGCTGTGATTCTAGCATTTATAACTGAAATTTCTTTGGCAGTATCAAGCACCATAGCAGGTTGGGAAACATTAATAGCAGAAGGCATGATACCAGGAAAAGGGGACTGTTGCTGACCAAAATGAAAGGACACTGGATATATGTGACAGCTTGGATAAGAAAGTGTACAGGGGGTGGGGGGAGAGACAGAGTTTCTTTCAGGCAGACTGATGAGAGCGATATTCTGCAAAGCACCTGCTACATGATGATGAGCATTTATAAATTATAAGTTCATCACTATGACTATTAGAAGTATGGGGTCCGTGGCAGATATTCACAAATTAAAGGGGTCATTGAGTATTAGCTCATTGTGACCTACTGACCTAGATATAAAAATACTTCATACATCAGAAGAATCTGTGTTACGGGGACCCACCTTTTATACCCCAAATTGTATAATTCTTTTCACTGTCATTAAGTAAGGCCAGATTTGTTACTGACATTTGGTATTTCTTAGGCTAAAATGTGCCCATCAAGCTTATCTACAGCCATGCCAGGTTAAAATGAACATCATGACCGTAAGCACATTTTGGTTACACAACCAAACTCTGCATGCTCAGGGATTATCAGAGTATAT